ATCAAACTCTTTCCCAAAGTTAGATGCGACTGATATTGATAAGCTGGCTTGTCCTATTTCTAATTTAGAAATTCAGAATACCTTACGAAAAATGGGTAGTCTAAAAGCCCCGGGCCCTGATGGTTTGCATGTCATTTTTTATCAGTCCCAGTGGAACATTATTGGTCAAACCTTGTGTGAGTTGATTCATGCCATTAAAGCCTCCCCGAGCAAGGTTGTAGAGATAAATAACACTCTCATCACACTTATTCCAAAGACAGAAAACGTCTCTTCGCTGAAGCATATGCGTCCGATTAGCCTATGCAACGTCTCCTACAAAATTATTACCAAAATCTTATCAAACCGGCTGAGGCAAGTGATGGCTGACCTTGTGTGCCCAAATCAATGTAGTTTTGTGCCGCAAAGACAAGCCTCAGAAAACATCATTATCACCCAGGAGGTAATTCATTCCATGAAGAGAAAATCCGGGAATAAAGGGTGGATGGCAATCAAAATTGACTTGGAAAAAGCATATGATCGTTTGAATTGGAATTTTATTCGTGATACTCTCACAGATATTGGTTTACCCCAAAACTTTGTTGAGTTGGTCTGGGCTTGCATTTCAACACCTTCGTCCCGTGTGCTTTGGAATGGTGAAGCTTTGCAAGAATTTCATCCTTCTCGGGGCATCAGACAAGGAGATCCTTTGTCCCCTTATTTGTTTGTGCTGTGTATGGAGCGTCTCTTCCATATTATTGAAGTTGCAGTGGCTCAAAAGCTTTGGAAACCAATTTGTCTATCTAAACAAGGCCCTCCTCTATCTCATTTGGCCTTTGCAGATGATCTTATCCTTTTCTCTGAGGCCTCTCTTGATCAAGTAGAAGTTATCAAAGCCTGTTTAGAGCTTTTCTGTAAAAGCTCGGGTCAAAAAGTGAGTCTTGAAAAGACTCGTATTTTTTTCTCCAAAAATGTTGGGTGGTCAGTTAGGGAGGAGATTAGTTCCGCCTTGGGTTTTCAACGGACGGATAATCTGGGGAAGTATCTTGGAGTCCCAATTCAGCATGACAGGGTTAATAGAAGATTGTATTCTTCTATCATTAATAAAGTCAATCAAAGACTGAGCTCATGGAAGGCGAAAACTCTTTCCTTTGCAGGCAGACTCACTCTCACAAAGTTTGTGCTGGTTACTCTCCCAATGTACACGATGCAGACGGCCTTTCTCCCCCGCAAGATTTGTGACGATATAGACAAAGAGTGTCGATCTTTTCTATGGGGTCACAAGGGAGAACAACAACGTATCCATGCTGTGGCTTGGTCCGTAATTTGCAAACCAAAAGCAGAAGGTGGCCTGGGACTGCGAGATTCCCGAAAAGTTAATAAAGCACTTATGATGAAGAACGGGTGGTCTCTATGTACTGATCAGAGTAAGCTGTGGGTTCAAGTCATTCGCGGGAAATATAAATGTGGTTCAGCGCATATCCCTATGGTCGTTAAAAGGCCAAACAGCTCAAACTTCTGGAGAGGGATTTGTGATGCATGGGAGGATATACAGAGAAACATGGCTTGGAATATAGGTGATGGGAAACTGGTATCCTTTTGGCACGATTCTTGGCTCCCTTCACGTACCAAACTAGTGGATAAAGCTACTCAGCTGGTTCCAGCAAACGAAATAACTAAGTCTGTTGCACATTATGTTTCTCCTGGAGGAAATTGGGATATGGATCCAATCAGAGGCTTGCTTCCTAACTCGGCGTGGAACGAATTGGTAGCGTATGCTCCGCCTTCTCTAGCTCCCGATGAAGACATATTGGTCTGGGGTGCAGCGTCGAATGGTCGGTTCTCCTTAAAGTCAGCCTATCACTCTCTCCGAGATACTACGGATCGTATCCCTCTCTTCCAGATTATCTGCAAGTGGAAGGGGCCAGAACGATTGCGATGCTTTCTTTGGAGGGTGGCACATTCAAGCTTATGTACGAATGAATGGCGAGCGTATAGAGGTCTAACTCAAAGTGGGAATTGCCCTGTGTGCAATAATGAGAGTGAAACCATCATACACATTTTACGTGATTGTATTGAGGCAAAAGAAATATGGCGTGCAATGGGTACGGAAGGCCTTCTTAACGAGTTCTTCAATCTACCACTGTTGACTTGGCTTCAGGAGAATTTAACCCACGTAGACCCCCGATGGTGCCTTAGTTTTGTAATTATAATGGATTCTTTATGGCGAGCAAGGAATACTATTGTCTTCCAACAAGGAAATTTTCACAAAACTCGAATTGTGGGTGAGATTAAAGGAAGGGTTGATGAAATGACAAAGGTTTTTCTAAAAGAGGTTGTAAGTGATAGAAGACAAGATGCTCTTGTTTCGGTTGGTTGGAATTTTCCTCCAGAAGGCATATTGAAGCTGAATTGTGATGGTGTAGTTGATGGAAATTCTATAGCAGCTTGCGGAGGAGTGTTACGGGATAGTTCGGGAAATTTTATCTTTGCCTTCGCAGGAAGGTTGGGGACATGTTCTGTGGTCCAAGCTGAGTTATGGGCAATTTTTCATGAATTGCGGATCTTTATTGAGAGAGGACTTGCTGACCCGATTATAATTGAATCAGACTCCGCTCTAGCAGTGAAGTTCCTTAACGAAGGATGTTCAAGAGAAAATCCGTGCTATTCTCTGGTCAATCTCATAGTTAATATGACAGGCGATAATCTAGAGGTGAAGTGTGTCCATATACTTCGTGAGGCCAACCAGGTAGCAGATTGCCTAGCTAAGAGGGGTATAGATTTTCTGGATGGGATTCAAATTTTTAGCTCACCCCCTCCGTGGGCGAGGGCTCCTTTATTTGCTGATTCTTCTAATGTAATTTTCCCTCGTGGATTTTAGTTCTTGTTTGGGCTTGTTTTAGCCCCGTTGTTAATCAAAAAAAAAAAAAAAAAAACTCACCTAGACGTTGCCTTATACAAAGAACCAATCATTAAACTAAAATTAAAATGATAACCACATAGAAGATAATGTGCTATCA